TTTAGCGGCATATCAACACCTCTATGGGTTATTTAATGCCGAAATCTAAATATTTTCATTCGTTTGGTTGATTTTGTTTAGCGGCATATCAACCTCTATGGGTTATTTAATGCCGAAATGTAAATATTTTCATTGGTTTGGTTTGGTTTGGTTGATTTAGTTTAGCGGCATATCACCCTCTATGGGTTATTTAATGCCGAAATATAAATATTTTCATTGGTTTGGTTTGGTTTGATTTGGTTTGGTTGATTTTGTTTAGCGGCATATCAACCTCTATGGGTTATTTAATGCCGAAATATACATATTTTCATTGGTTTGGTTTGGTTTGGTTGATTTTGTTTAGCGGTATATCAACCTCTATGGCTTATTTAATGCCGAAATCTAAATATTTTCTTTGGTTTGGTTTGGTTTGGTTTGGTTTGGTTTGGTTGATTTTGTTTAGCGGCATATCAACCTCTATGGCTTATTTAATGCCGAAATTTAAATATTTTCATTGGTTTGGTTGATTTTGTTTAGCGGCATATCAACCTCTATGGCTTATTTAATGCCGAAATTTAAATATTTTCATTGGTTTGGTTTGGTTTGGTTTGGTTGATTTTTTTAGCGGTATATCAACCTCTATGGGTTATTTAATGCCAAAATCTAAATATTTTCATTGGTTTGGTTTGGTTTGGTTGATTTTGTTTAGCGGCATATCAACCTCTATGGGTTATTTAATGCCGAAATATACATATTTTCATTGGTTTGGTTTGGTTTGGTTGATTTTGTTTAGCGGTATATCAACCTCTATGGCTTATTTAATGCCGAAATCTAAATATTTTCTTTGGTTTGGTTTGGTTTGGTTTGGTTTGGTTTGGTTGATTTTGTTTAGCGGCATATCAACCTCTATGGCTTATTTAATGCCGAAATTTAAATATTTTCATTGGTTTTTGGCATATCAACCTCTATGGCTTATTTAATGACGAAATTTAAATATTTTCATTGGTTTGGTTTGGTTTGGTTTGGTTGATTTTTTTTAGCGGTATATCAACCTCTATGGGTTATTTAATGCCAATATTTAAATATTTTCATTGGTTTGGTTTGGTTTGGTTGATTTTGTTTAGCGGCATATTATGGGTTATTTAATGCCGAAATATACATATTTTCATTGGTTTGGTTTGGTTTGGTTGATTTTGTTTAGCGGTATATCAACCTCTATGGCTTATTTAATGCCGAAATCTAAATATTTTCTTTGGTTTGGTTTGGTTTGGTTTGGTTTGGTTGATTTTGTTTAGCGGCATATCAACCTCTACGGATTATTTAATGCCGAAATTTAAATATTTTCATTGGTTTGGTTGATTTTGTTTAGCGGCATATCAACCTCTATGGCTTATTTAATGCCGAAATTTAAATATTTTCATTGGTTTGGTTTGGTTTGGTTTGGTTTGGTTTGGTTGATTTTTTTAGCGGTATATCAACCTCTATGGGTTATTTAATGCCAAAATCAAAATATTTTCATTGGTTTTGTTTGGTTTGGTTGATTTTGTTTAGCGGCATATCAACCTCTATGGGTTATTTAATGCCGAAATCTAAATATTTTCATTGGTTTGGTTTGGTTTGGTTGATTTTGTTTAGCGGTATATCAACACCTCTATGGGTTATTTAATGCCGAAATCTAAATATTTTAATTGTTTGGTTTGATTGATTTTGTTTAGCCATATATCAACACTTGTATGGGTTATTTAATGCCGAAATCTAAATATTTTTTTATTGGTTTGGTTTGGTTGATTTTGTTTAGCGGCATATTAAGGTTTATGTGTTATATAATGCCGAAATCTATTTTGAATGCAATTTCATGTTTTCAACTGTATATATTTTCCCTGTTTTTACACTTTTCGAGTAAAATTATGAGATCATAAAAATACTTTGTTGGTAATTTTACTATAAAATATATTTTTATATTTTTTTAATGTTGCATTGATTGTCATTTTATAATAAAGATATAGTGTCACACATTTTATAAAAACATGTACTGATTTTTATTTGGGTGTCCCATATTTGCCCGTAGCTCGGATCCTAACAGGTGCTACAATTAAGGATTAATAAAAAAAATTAAAAAAAACCTAGTTTATTGCATTATTTTTTATTTACCCATTGTTTTTACACTTCTTTTTTAATATATTAATTTAAAGTTTACATTTCTTTTTTTTTAATATATCAATTATTATAATGTTTTAAAACATACATATGTTTTTAATAAATAAGCGTAAATGTGCAATAACCTTTTACTTTGTACTAAATTTTCATTCTTTAAATCAATTTTGCCTCCCCACGGGCATCTGTATTTATTTATTTATTTATTCAACAGAGTCGGCTTTTTACGAAGAAGAAAGAATTCTTCCAGGGGCGGTGAAAGAATTTTTTTACCCACCCCCAATCTATGATATGTTCCCATTTATGATAATCTCACGAATCTTTGATACCGCCCCCCCCTACCCAATCTACTACGTCTCAATTTTCATAAGGCAGTATTTATATAAAATATAAATTCTATTGTAACCTAATTATGTACAATAATGGATCATATGCAATATAGGTGAACAGTTCAATTAGAAAAACTGAAAATAAATACAATCTGTCTAAAACTAAATTAGAGACATGTCATAATAGATCATTCCATTTTAAAAAAAAATCAACAAAGTTTTGAGGCAATTTTTAACACCAACTTCAGATTCTTCTTGTTAAAAAGTTGAAGAAATTTAATATATTCAATATTGTTGATAAAAAATTATTAAATTTTATTTCGTATTTTTTCGAGATTTAAGTTGAACCAAAAAAATTCACTGATTTATAAGAAGAAAAAAAGTAGATTTGAAAACATCGTCAAAATCAGCGAAAATTTTTCATCTTTTAATATTCAGTTGTTCTTAGTTTAGTTTGTAAAAATATATTGATAAGAGAGCGAGGGTCACAAAGAACCGCCCGGGTTCTGCTATCAGGTTTGGGTCCCTCCTCGTGGTGGGTTTCAGAGTTATTACGCACCGGACCTTGCCATGATCACCTACGTCCTGAAGGGATATAGAAGATAAAAGAAGAAGAGGAAAAGAAGAGAAGGAAAAGGAGAGGAGGAAAGGATAATGGGAAAAGGAGAGGGGGGGAAAAGGAGGGGGGAAAAAGGGGAAAACAAGGGGGAAAAAAAGAAAATGAAAGAAGAGGAGGAAAAGAAGAGGAGGAAAAGAAGAGGATAATGGGAAAAGGAGAGGAAGAAACGAAGCGGGGGGGAAGAGAAGAGGAAAAAGAGAGGAGGAAAAGAAGAGAAGTGTAAGGAGAGGAGGAAAGGAAAAGGAGGAAAAGAAGAGGAGGAAAAGAAGAGGAGGAAAAGAAGAGGAGGAAAGGATAGGAGAAAAGGAGAGGAAGAGAAGAAGAGGAAAAGGAGAGGAAGAGAAGAAGATGAGGAAAAGGAGAGGAGGAAAGAAAAGGAGGAAAAGGAGAGGGGGGAAAGAAGAAGAGGAAAAGGAGAGGAGGAAAAGGAGAGGAGGAAAAGAAGAGGGGGAAAGAAGAGGAGGAAAAGGAGAGGAGGAAAAGAAGAGGGGGAAAGAAGAGGAGGAAAAGAAGAGGAGGAAAAGAAGAGGAGGAAAAGGAGAGGAAGAAAAGAAGAGGGGGAAAAGGAGAGGAGGAAAAGGAGAGGAAGAGAAGAAGATGGGGAAAAGGAGAGGAGGAAAAAGGAGAGGAGGAAAGAAAAGGAGGAAAAGGAGAGGGGGGGGAAAGAAGAAGAAAAAGGAGAGAAGGAAAAGAAGAGGAGGAAAAGGAGAGGGGGAAAGAAGAAGAGGAAAAGGAGAGGAGGAAAAGGTGAGGAGGGAAAGGAGAGGAGGAAAGGAAAAGGAGGAAAAGGAGAGGAGGAAAGGAAAAGGAAGAAAAGGAGAGAGGGGAAAGAAGAAGAGGAAGAAAAGAAGAGGAGGAAAAGGAGAGCAGGAAAAGGAGAGGAGGGAAAGGAGAGGAGGAAAAGAAGAGAAGGGAAAGGAGAGGAGGAAAGGAAAAGGAGAAAAAGGAGAGGGGGGAAAGAAGAAGAGGAAAAGAAGAGGAGGAAAAGGTGAGGAGGAAAAGGAGAGGAGGAAAAGAGGAGGAGGAAAAGGAGAGGAGGAAACGCATCATTTATTTTCATAAGTCATTATTCATATAAAATACAAATTTAATCGTAACCTAATTATGTACAATAATCGATCATATGCAATATAGGTAAACAATTCAATTAGAAAAACTGAAAATAAATAAAATGTATCTAAAACTAAATTAGAGACATGTCATAATAGATCATTCTATCTTAAATAAATCAACAATGTTTGGCAGCAAAATATCACCTTGTGATTTTTTTAACATCAAAATGACATTTATTAACATCTGTACTTGGACTCAAAGAAAATTGGTCAAGGAATAACTGATCAGTACAAACAGAGCCAATGCAATGGTTTCATGCCTCCTGCCTGAACCCATGATACAGGGTCCCTACTCTATTACATTCAATTTTTATAAGGTACTATTCAGATAAAATACTAATTTTATTGTAACCTTATTATGTACAATAATGGATCATATGAAATATAGGGGAACAATTCAACTAGAAAAATTAAAAACAAATCCAACGCATCTAAATACAAACTAGTGACATATCATAATAGATGATTCCATTTTAAATAAATCAACAATGCTTTGCGGCAATTTTTAACATCAACTTGAGATTTTTCTTGTTAAAAATTTGAATAATTTTAACACATTCAATATGAGGGAGGAAAAAAAATAATGAATTTTATATTGTGTTTTATCAAGACTTAGCATGAGCAAAACAAATTCACGGATTTAAACGAAAAAAAAACCCAGAATGACGTCAAAAGTCATGAAAATTTTCATCCTTTAATAGTTTTGTTTAGTTTAATTTGTATGTAAATGTCGGTAGAAAAAAAAAGGTCAAATGTTGATAAGCTAACGAGGGTCACAAAGCATTGCCCGGAGCCCCCAATCAGGCTTGGAACAATCCCGCACCGATCGTTGTGTTCAGGGGTAGTACGCATTGGTCCTTCTCGATTCTTTTGTATGACCGTACAATAACCCGATCACATTTATGCTTGCTGTTCGTCAACCGCAGGCCCTCTCCTGGTTTGAGCTTAGAAGCATAAAAGCGAATTCTTATTAACCGCTTACGAGTCGGAATCTGAACCCATGATTATTCAGACACCTTTTGCGAATTGGAGGAATATTCCCGACAGAATATAAATACAGTTTAACCTCCCACTGAAAATGTCCATAATTATACCGGAGTAGCATCTAATGTTTCCTCTCTGTGAACGAGAGTATTTGCAATGAAAGAAAAGTTAGAGATCTTTTTAGCTTGTTAAATGAGAAGGAGTATGATAGGAGAGTTCTACACAGCGCGATGTATCAAAACTCTCTCTCTCTCTCTCTCTCTATATATATATATATATATATATATATATATATATATATATATATATATATATATATATATATATATATATATATAGGTTGACTAACTGCCTTGGAGTGTGTCCGGGTGAAAAGCGAGAAACTAACTTCGTGATTGTAAGGGTCGGTAACTTGAGAGAGGATCCTTAAAAGCAAGGCAATTGTCACGTGATTAACTAACCTATAATTTCGAGGCACGCACGCACACCCTATTTTTTATATGATTTTTTTTTTTTTCGACGAAACTCAGCTGACTTGCTCGACCGAGACGGTCTCGATTCTCTGCTATTGTCAGGCAACAATAAGATATTATTTGGGGACACGAAGATTCTCCCACTTGTATCCCTCGCTTTCACATCATTCGGTCAGGTATTGCCGTAAGATACGCATGCGCGCGCGCACACACACACACAGAGACACAGAGTTGTTTTAAATAACTTTTCTTTTTTATTTTTAAATGCCATGTTCTTTCAGGAGATAGGCGGTCAGGTCTCTCCACAGCTGCCTTTTTCTTTAGAATTATTTTCCTCCCGCCAACATCTCTATGACGGGCGGAAAATGATGAGTCTGTCAGTGATCTATCGCAACTTCCATGGAAAGCGATCGGTGGAACAACATTCCTTGGTTAATCCAGAACTAATCTTCACGGCTAGGACGCTCTATTCTACTTACATAGTAAAAAACCACGCATATTCGCTCCGTATTCTATCAGTGAGAAGTAAGTTCCACTCAGACAGCTTCTTCCAGCGATCACTGCTCCTTGCAACAGTCTCCCAAGATGATGTTTCCCCGATCACTATAATCTTCACCTATTCAACTCTCGTGTTAAACGTTATGTTCCACTGATATCCGTATAAACTACGCCTTAACGTAACCCTCTGTCGCGGGTAGCCTCCGGCCTTTGTACAGAGTGAACATTCAGTACAGTTATGTGCCATGCGTGATATATGCTTAGGCGATCATGTATCTTTCGATACATGACTGACGAGGCAGATTTTTTTTCCCGCAGTAGGTTGCCATTTCTTTCTACGGTAGACCACTTGCCATCCAAGATTATGGAAATTGGTCTGTCCTGCTATTTAACCATAGCTAAGGGAGAGAAGAAGAGGATTCAAATTTTTCCCAAGGGTATTAGCATGTAAGTGAATTTCAGTCAGTTATGTGTCATGCCTGATATACGCTTAGGCGATCATGTATCTTTCGATACATGACTGACGGGGCAGATTATTTTTTCCCGCAGTAGGTTGCCATTTCTTTCTGCGGTAGACCAGTTGCCATTCGACGCTATGGAACCTGGTCTGTCCTGCTATTTGCCCATAGTTGGTGGGGGGGAGAAGAGGAGGATTCATACCTTTCCCAAGGATATTAGCACGTCAGTCAGTCAGTTATGTGCCATGCGTGATACACGCTTAGGCGATCATGTATCTTTCAATACATGACTGACGAGGCAGATTTTTTTCTCGCAGTAGGTTACCATTTCTTTTTGCGGTACACCAGTTGCCATCCAAGGCTATAGAACCCCGTCTGCCTTGCTATTTACTCATATCTGGGGGGAAAGTAAAGAATTTATACATTTCACAAGGGTATTAGCACGTAAGTGAATGTGATGGATTCGACTGGAATTCGAACTCGGCTCTCCCGATTCCTCAATCCGAGCCGCTATCCATTACTCCACTGTATAAAAATATATATTTGGATTACCATGATTTCTTTTTTCCCGTTTCTGTCTCCTTTTGATTTTAAAATTTTCCTTCTCCTACACTGTCTCCAATTTTTTATTCACTTTATCAACTAACAGTCACCTGGAGAAACCCTGAATAAGTCCTCGGTAAACATTAGCTGAAACACTGTGAGTATAACACCCTGGATGAATAGCAACGTAACGATAATTCTTCATTTGAACTATTCATTCGAACACGTAGCAGACTCTGGAAGAAGGCCGGTGAGTACAACGTCCGTAGTAAAACATTGGAACCATTGCTTGTTCTCGTTGCTCACGTGTTCTGTCCATGGTATTCTCAGCATCCTTCTGTAGAACTGCATCTCAGCTGCTTCAGGCTTGCAGCCACATCACGTTGAATGCACCGATTCTCGTACGATCAGTGAAGTTAAGCAACGTCGATCCTGGTCTGTACCTAGATGGGTGACTGTTTGGGAAAACCGGGTGGTGTAATAAATGATGGCACGGAATTTTTAATCGGACATCCCGGGTTCTAATTCTCGCTGGGTTCGTTATATTCACTTACGCACAAATACCCAAGGGAATGACATGAATACGCCTCTCCCCCCACCAGCTATGGGTTAATTAGTAAGACTTGTATCACTAAGACATTATTATCTCAAAATAAATTCTTAGAGTATGAATCTTTTGGTCCCCAGAAATTGTCAGGTGAGATTTCTCCATGTTGAACAAGGATTTAATTTGTGTTTTAATGGTGAAAGTTCTGTTTTTTTTTTATGGAAACTATTTCCTTTCCTCTGATTTTTTCTGGAAACAATTTTCCTTTCTTCTGATTTCTTCTGGAAATCATTTTCTTTTCTCGATTTCTTTAGGAAACCATTTTCCTTTCCTGTCATTTTTTCTGGAAACAATTTTCCCTTCTTCTGATTTCTTCTGGAAATCATTTTCTTTTCTCGATTTCTTTAGGAAACCATTTTCCTTTCCTCTGATTTTATCTGGAAACAATTTTCCTTTCTGCTGATTTCTTCTGGAAACAATTTTCTTTTCTTCTGATTTCTTCTGGAAATCATTTTCGTTTCTTGATTTCTTTAGGAAACCATTTTCCTTTCTTCTGATTTCTTCTGGAAACAATTTTCCTTTCTGCCGATTTCTTCTGGAAACAATATTCCTTCCTCCTGATTTCTTCTGGAAATCATTTTCTTTTTTCGATTTCTTTAGGAAACCATTTTCCTTTCTTCTGAATACTTCTGGAAGCCATTTTCTTTTCTTCTGATTTTTTAGAAAACAATTATCCTTTCTTCTGATTTCTTCTGGAAACCATTTTCCTTTCTGATTTTTTTTAGGAAACCATTTTTCCTTTCTTTTGGTTTCTTCTGGAAACAATTTTATTTTCTTCTGGTTCCTTCTGGAAACCATTCTCCTTTGTTCTGATTTCTTCTAGAAGCCATTTCTTTCTTCTGAATTCTTTAGGAAACTAATTTCTTTTCTTCTGATTTCTTCTGGAAGCTATTTTCCTTTCTTTGATTTCTTCTGGAAACCTTTTTCCAATCGTCTGATTTATTCTGTAAACAATTTTCCTTTCTTCTGAATTTGTTTGTCTTGTAAACGATGCACTGCAGGTGGATGACAACGCAACAATAAAGAGCTGCGTAAAATTGCCAGATTTGCATCACTTGGGAATCTGGCAGAAAATAATTCGGCTTTTCATTGATGAACAAGAATAAACGGTCAAGTATTTAAATGTATATCTATATCTATATTCGTTTTGGGAAATTTACTCAGAAACCATATTCTTAACTTTTGAAGTTTTCCCAAGATTAGTCGATGAAAAAAAAAATCCACTTTGAACACAGAGAAAAAACATTACTCCCATTTTGGATTTCATTTTGGCCTTACGACCGCATCACGTTGAATCGCCGGTTTTCGAACGGTAACCGAACTTAAGCAACGTCAGACCTGGTCATTAGCTAGATGGGTGACCGCTTGGGAATGCCAATTGCTATAAGCCTGAATATGCGGGTTGTGTAATAGATAACGGCTCGGAATTGTTAATCAGAGAGCCGAGTTCCAATCCCAGTGGCGTTGGATATATTCACTCACGCACACGAATACCTTTGGAAAAGTTATGAATCCAACTCTTCTCCCCCCATATATGGGTTAATTAGTAGGTCGTGTAAATCGTTATTACTCGATCGTTCTCCCTTGATCAACTACGGCTGAGTAGTGAATCCGATCCTCGCTGTGTGTTCCATACTTTCGGCCTTGTGCCACTCTGAGCTATGCACTTCGACGCAGTGTAATAGTTGCTTCCTAGATCAATGACGACAGGGTGTTGAGTTCGATCCTGACTAGGTGATCCACACTTTCGGGCTTGAGGTGTGACGCAAGGTTACACTGAGAATATCATTTGCGCAATACGACGTGGTGTAATGGTTTACGAGCTGGTCTTGCTGGGTCAATTTACGATTATATAGTGGGTTCGATCCTAACCGAGTGCTCCATACCTTAAGACATATATCGCAACTAATTATTTTGGGCACTTCGACGTGCTGTAATGTTTGCGTGCTTGTTCAGTTACAATTGAATAGGGAGTTCCATCCTCATTAGCGCTCCACACTTTCGGCCTTGTGCCACATCTAAGCTACGCTGAGAAAAATCATTTGGGCACTTCGACATAGTGTAACTGTTAGCAAGCCTGTCTCACTATCTATCTATCTATCTATCTATCTAATCCTTTCCCTTTCACATCCATCTATCTATCTATCTATCTATCTATCTATCTATCTAGTTAATCCTTTCCCTTTCGTATCTATCTATCTATCTATCTATCTACCTATCTATCTACCTATCTATCTAATCCTTTCCCTTTCGTATCTATCTATCTATCTATCTATCTATCTATCTACCTATCTTATCTAATCCTTTGTTCATATCTATATATCTATCTATCTATCTATCTTATGTTCATAATCTATCTATCCCTGCATTCTATCTAATCCTTTCCCTTTCGTATCTATCTATCTATCTATCTATCTATCTAATCCTTTCCCTTTCGTATCTACCATTTGGCCACTTCGGCGTAGTGTAACGGTCAGCAAGCCTGTCTCACTGCGACTGAGTAGTGAATTCGATCCTCACTGGGTGCTCCATACGTTCGACCTTGTGCCACATCACAGCTCCGCTTAGAAAACCATCACCTCCAGCGGTTATTAGTCTCTGAAGACATTCGTAATATTTTCTAATATTGTGCAAAAGGACTTGTATCTGTAGAATAATAGATTGAAAGAAACAAATAGTAAATGGCGTGGAGGTGTGGTGCGTGGGGGGTGGAGGAGACGAAAACGTTTTTGACAAAATGTTGTTCCGAGTAAGATGAAATCCGGTCTACGGCACGTGGCGAATGGATCGACAGAAACGCAAACCAATGTGTAATTGTGACGAGAACGGCAATAAATCTGATCAAATCACACTTTGGTCCGATTGACAGAAGATTCGATTTCTAAGACCTGTGTGTTCACGATAAATTATTTGATTGACAAGTCAAATAAGCCTTTCGATCAGAAACACGGGGATTTATGTCCGACATATTCTTCCTGTTTCTACACATACATAAACAAAAAAACAAAAATAAAATAAAATCTCGCAAGCCATTTTCTAATTATCCCTTTTCTACTTCCCTGTTTAAATCATTAATCTCCCATTTGCTCTTGTCTCTTCACACGGTCAATAGGCTGACGACTCGCGGTCACTTTTATCGCATGATCTGAACTTCGGCACGGTCAACCTGCGTTCAAAAGGCGCCTGGGCCAGTTACGCACTAAAATAGTCTGTCTCACCCCCAGGAGATTGCGACTAGTTAAGTGATTCTCTAAAAGGTATTCTAATTAAAAAAAAAAAAAAAATCACAGAACTTTCGACGATTCTAGTTTAAATGACTCGAACTGCCTCTAAGGCTTCAGTGAAAATGATGACAGCGCATCAAGCAAGTCAGTATTTTGAAATGTTTAATTCATCTGTTCTTGGGTTGACTCACGTTCAATAATACAAATTCCATCAGTTTCAAAAAGCATAAATATTTACAGCTTACTATACCGGACAGCTTGTCTAATTCTCTTCCTTTCTTTTCTAATTTATTAATTAATCAACCAGTCAGTCACTCACTCTATATCTATCTATCTATCTATCTATCTATCTATCTATCTATCTATCTAATCCTTTCCCTTTCATTATCTATCTATCTATCTATCTATCTATCTATCTATCTATCTATCTATCTATCTAAACCTTTCCCTTTCATATCTATCTATCTATCTATCTATCTATCTATCTAATCTTTCCCCTATCTATCTATCTATCTAAATCTTCCCTTTGTTCATAATCTATCTATCTATCTTAGCCTGTTCATAATCTATCTATCTATCTATCTATCTATCTATCTATCTAAACCTTTCCCCTTTCTATCTATCTATCTATCTATCTATCTATCTATCTATCTATCTAAACCTTTCCCTTTCATATCTATCTATCTATCTATCTATCTACTTTTCTTCCTTTCATATCTAGCTATCGCTCTTCCTTTTATATGTATCCATCTCTCACTTTCTCTTTCCCTCTCTCTCTCTCTCTCTCTCTCTATCTATCTATCTATCTATCTATCTATCTATCTATCTATCTATCCCTCAATATGCTCCGTGACCGTTAAGTTTTCCAAGCTTCCACTCCTTACCTAGTGTTCATCCAAGGAATTTAAGCTTGTCCTTTCCTGATTCTGAGCAGACGTGTTTTTTTCTGTTGCCATTTTCTTTAAAATCTTCTTGTTGCTCTGTCCATTTTTCCGTCTCTTTCTGTAGAACCACATTTCTGAAGCTTCGAATTTTCTCCTCATCCGCGAGGAAATTGCCTATCATTCACTGACTTGTAAAAAAAATGTTTTTTTTTATTGCATTCAACATTGAATAATGAAGCTCTTCCAAAATTAGATCATCAATAAATATTTGAGGAAGAAGACATGCCTCGTGTTTCGTAACGACAGAATATCTCATTAACAAATTTGTAATATTTTTTTTCCATTTCTTTGGCTCCATTTCAGAATTCTTTGCGTTTTTTTTTTCATTTAACGAATTAAAAAGCCGATTTTCATTCTTCCATATGACAATCGAATTAATTGTAGAGATAAAAATCCTAGAATACATTCTGAAAATATTGTAACCGCGGTTTTATCGTTAACAGAAAAAAAGAAAGAAACTTGTAGTGACAAAACAATGAATAGGGATAAGTCAGTCAGTTATGTGCCATGCGTGATACATACGTATCGAAAGATAAATGATCGCCTAAAAGCTGCTTCGTCAGTCATGTATCGAAAGATGTCTGGGTTCTATAGCCTTGGATGGCAACTGGTCTACCGCAGAAAGATATGGCAAATCTGCCTCGTCAGTCATGTATCGAAAGAAGTCTGGGTTCTATAGCCTTGGATGGCATCTGGTCTACCGCA